TTTGCTCATTTTATCTTTATGCCTTTTCCACCTGTTTACCTGTCTAAAAGTTCCTAACCCTTTGAAGAATCTGTCAGATATTTCCTCTATCATTTTCCTTGAACCATGACATTCTCTCCAGGAAGAGTTATTCTCACACCTGTTTCAGGACTTCATACAATTCCATTTTAGCATTTAATATTTTGTATTATTGTTCTTTTTATATTTCACCCTTGCTACATATTTGAACTGCTATTTGTAACAGACTGCTTGACACAGAGCAGGTATTCACAAAATGTTCATTAAACCAAACTGACAATTTAAGGTTAGTTGCAGTCTGAAAGAACATCATATATAAAGTCCATCAGTAACATAAATTAAAGTTCATGCAAATACAGGAAATAAGAAATGAGATTATCAAAAAAACATTGAGTAACATTTGTCAGGCACTGTCCAAGATGCCCAGCATACAAATATGAGTTATAGTCATTGCCCTCAAGAAGCCTGGAATCTAGATGTAAGTTATAAATAAGAGTAAGTCATTCATTCATCAAATATTTATTAAGTTGCCATAACATTGAGATGCCATATCACTGAAGCATGACTAAGATAGATTAAGTCATTTTTCCTATAAAGTCAACATGTCAATACATTAAATGTTAGTTTAAGTATACAAAGTGGCAAAGAACTTGATATTGTTGGTGCAACTATTATTATTCCTACTCTTGACTGTTCAGTCTAGTCACATTGAGTAACAAGAATTAACCAGCTGATGAAATAAATATGAGGAAGGAAAGTACTTAAATAAAAGCAGCATGGAAAAAAGAAAAGGTTCAGAGACATGAAATACACAGGGCCCTTGAGTATAAAAAACTCTAGTGTATAAATCTATGGAAAGGAATAATGGGAGGTGATACAGAAAGGTAGATAGAACCAGTCAAGAAGGACTTCTCTGAAATGTCACAATGAAGAATCGACTTCATCCCACAGGATGGGAAGCCACTGAAATGTACAGGTTAGGAATGCAGTAGTCATATCTGCATTTCTAGCAGTTTAGCAACATGAAGAAAGGGGGAGTGGAAGGCAATAAGACTGAAAGGCAGGGACAGCAATTATGAGGCTTCTGTATTAATCTAAGTGAAAAAAAGGTGGGATAGAGACAATGATAGGCTATAACATGGGCAAGACTGACTAGAACCTGGGCTCACTGGTACATTAGATGGAATGAACCCAATTTAACTTGCGGAGAAACAAGAGGTAAGTAGTCTTTGGCAGAATAGGCTGTGGCATAGACCCAGGTTTATGAAGACATTAGAAACCTAGGAGAAATATAAAAAAAAGACAGGGTTTGCTATTTCAAAATTTTGAGTTTCAACATGCCACTCTCTGTGAACACCCAGTTGAAAGTGTGGTAATCTCTCTGCTATATGGATTAGTCCCATGGAATGTCAGCATCGGGAGCTTTCCCAGCAACCAGAAACCCATCCATTTGGCAGGAAAATGGAAAAAATCACTAGGTTTTTGTTTTTGTTTTTGAAAGCATCAGTCTGTGAGCTCAGCATAGGAACTAGGAACTTAAATGTTAATCCAGACAGAGCTATTGACTTACGTAAACTTAAGTCAGTCAAACTGGCTCTATCTCTCTTTTCATCAGTAAAACAACAAGAAAGAATACCAATCCAGTCTACCGACATTGTGTGGGAAACATCTAACCAATGATTATAAACTGCTTGGAAGTATCAAGTGCTGTAAGAATGCTAAAATATATAGCACCCTATAATCTCAAGAACCTAAAAGTAAAAATCACCATTTTACTAAGAGGATTGTTCCATTTATTAACACTTCATCATACAAAAGAACCTGGCTAATTCCTACTATACCAGGGACCCCATGACTAGTTAAAGGATTTTGAGAGTTGCAAAAATGTATGAAAAATAGGAGTTCATGAACACAAGTTATACAGGTTTCATAAATACAGAAACCAATGTACTTATTTGACTTGTTTTGGCAAGTTTATCTTGTGATTAAAACATAGTCTGAGACTGGGGATTAACGTTTTCAAACGTGAATAGATGCTTCATGCACTAGAAAACTACCACAGAAAGCCTCCTATAATAAAGGAGAATAAAAAATATTGGGTTTCTTCATTTTTTTTTTTAAATATGGAAATGGAAGGTTTGATTTAGGGATTTTAGTTCTCAAAGGCTTGCCTTTCAGAGCAGCCTCACCATTTATTAGCTGTGTGGCTTACCAAATTCTTCACTCTCAACTTCAATTTCCTATAAAACAGGGATGAAAATACCAACAACTTCTATCTTCTATGAGGACTAAATAAGCTCACTTATGTGAAGCATTTAGCATACTGCCTGGCACATAGTATATGCTCAATAAAAGGAAATTCTGTTTTATTTTGAACAATCTCACATTTATTTTAAGATCTCTACCTTTTGTAACAAACCCCAAGGTGCAAACAATACTCCTGGGACTGATACAGATGCTAGAATGCCCACCATGCCAACGACCTGTCTCCTTGATGCCGCCTGCGTCCTACCATCCTCCTCTTTATCTACTATTTCAAATTTTTACTTAGGTATCTGGGTGCATGCTCAGTAGAGGGTCCAAATGAGGAGCCAGGTGAGGAACTGTCAGAAATGTTCCAAGAAGTCTTATTTTGGTAATAAGGTTAGAAATGCTAGTGGCTCACAGTCTAAAACAGGAAGCAGTTTATGAGAAATACTGTTGTCAACTTTTTTTCTTTTAAAAGATTTATTTATTTGTTTGTTTGTTTGTTTGTTTATACAAGCACTGGGTACAGTCAGAAGCGCGGGAGGGTGAGAGAATTCACCAGAGCCAGAGTGGGGAGCAGAGCAGGCAGAAGGACCCAAGTACACTGCTGAGGGGAGCAGCGGGCGGCAGGAGAGGTCTGCGCGCCATGTGGGACCCTCCTCCGGTGGCCAGGGAGCAGCTGGGGATCGAACCAGTGCTGCAGAGGCTGCGGGCAGCTTCTCAACCCAGCGCTCAACCTCTGCGCCACCGGGGAGGCCCTGTTGTCAACTCTTAATCTTGCCAAGTCCTCTTCAAAAGTTGGCTGTCATCAACACCACCATAATTTCATAAGAGTAAGTTTGCTTTTTTTTTTTTTAAAGATTTGTTTATTTATACAAGAACCAGGGTACAGGCCAGATGCACGGGAGGGTAAGAAGATTCACCAGAGACACAGTGGGGAACAGAACAGGCAGACTGACGAAATACACTGCTGCGGGGAGCAGCGGGCGAGACAGGAGAGGTCTGCCATGCCGTGTGGGACCCTAGCCAGCTGGCAGGGATCGAACCTGCACTGCAGAGGCTGCAGACAGCTTCAGTGCGGCGCTCAACCACTTGCGCCACCAGGGGAGGCCCAAAAGAAAGAATATTTTAAAACCTTCTAGTAAAAGGATATAACCTATAAATGTATTTAAATGAAAACTTGCTTTATGAAAAACTCACTATCTTACACTACATTTTATTTTGCCCATGGTATCAGTTTTAAAGACCTGCATTTGATTACCATTACATTGCATAAACCTCTCAGATTCTACTTTAAAAAATACACAAATACATACACATATTTTTGGAAGCTTCTACCAAAAGTTAAACACATAGAAAACAGAAGGAACAAATTAAAATAAATAGACATGAATAAATTAGAAAATAGAACACAGAGATAAACCAAGCCAAATGAAATCTAAACATCTAAACTAATAATTACAATAATAAACAACTAGATACAAATAATTAATTACAAGTTCAGAGTTACTAGAAACAAACAAGCATGAACTGGAATGAGAGAAGTCAGACTCTTGCTTAGGCAAGTGCTGTGCCAGGACAGTAAGCTAGGTAGAGTGGGTTGGGTAAAGCATCAACTCTGAATGACAGTTCAAAGGCCTTCAAAAATGAGGGAACAAGGGTAGATAAAAAACAAAGGAAAAAATCCTTCCTAAAAATTACTGTTAAAAAAAAAATTAGAGGGCCTCCCCGGTGGCGCAGTGTTTAAGTGCTGGGTTGCTAAGCTGCCCGCAGCCTCTGAGGCACCGGTTCTATCCCCGGCTGCTCCCCGGCCACTGGAGGAGGGTCCCACATGGCACGCAGACCTCTCCTGCCGCCAGCTGCTCCCCTCAGCAGTGTACTTCAGTCCTTCTGCCTGCTCTGCTCCCCGCTCTGGCTCTGGTGAATTCTCTCACCCTCCCGCGCTTCTGACTGTACCCAGTGCTTGTATAAATAAATAAATCTTTAAAAAAAAAAAAGAATTAGAAACTCCATGAGTTCCAATTTTTTCAGAAGATGAAGAAATTATTTCAGAGATTCAAGGTAGGAGAAAAGAATCACTATATTTGGAAACATCAGCAGGAAGAAAAGCTACTCTGATTTGTTCAATAAAAGTAAAAACAATCTGAAATTAATTTCTCAGGGAAATTCAGCTCTTTCAGGTAGTTCTTGACAACTTCTTCCAAGACAATGTATAAACTATTGTATTTGCAGCATTAATCTGCACAAACTTCTTTCTGCTTTATAATCTTGCACATATAAACAATTGTATTTGCAGCATTAATCTGCACAAACTAACTTCTTACTGCTTTATAATCTTGCACACAAATGTTTATTCATTTTTCTTATTTAACAACTTCAAGTCTTAGAACATTCTTCTAATTCATTTGCCCTAAATAAATTTTCATTATTCTAAAATATTCTAAGCTTCCACCAAATTTCTGTATTTTTTTTTACAACCTTACTTCTAAAAGCCAACACTTACATGGCTATTACTTTATTATCTCCCTCTATTCTGTCTCGGGCTAATGTTAATCTATGCTCTCATCTTTATTCCAAATCTCCAAGATGCAAGAATCTGATTCTATTATTTTAATTCTATGTGAAGACAAAACAAAGGCTAGAGAAAATTCTAAACCAAAATGAGCTTTTTCCTCCATTTCTTAATTCTAAAATTGTTAAAGGAATAACAATTTGAACAAACAAGTATTGATTTAATTAATTCAACTTTTATTTTCCTTTTGGCAAATGTCAAATAATGTGAGCAAAACTATCTTGCTCACTATAGTCACACATTCTTTTTTGCTTTCTACAAGTTGTAAACATATTTAAGTGAATAAAATTCTTGGCTAAAAACATATTCCAGAACTCTGACATATATTTTTCTGAGTTAGGACAAAACAAAGCTTATGAAACCTCGATTAGACCATCATCATTCAGCAAACTAACTTAGTATATCTTACTTTAAAATAACACCAATCATCTTGTAAAGATTCCAATATTAGGTTACAGTCAAAATTATTTTTATCTGAAGCTTTATGAAAGAAGAATTGACCACATAAATCTTCATAACCATACTGACCATTAAAAAATAAAAAATAATAATAAACTTATAATCAAAAAAATTTCATTCATCTTGTTAGGAAAAAAATAGCTACCAATAAGTTATTTTAGAATACCCTAAATATAGATGGAATTTATTATAACTAGATTTCATGTCTTGTTTATTACTTAATGTTTATCCTTTAAAGTGACAGTACCTCAAAATAAAGTCAAGGTGTTTAGCTTTTTATAACCTCATTCTTAAATAAATTTCAGAATTCCCCAAAAATTCAAATCAAGAACTACAAAACAGGCTTCAGAATATATTTTGCTTGGCAGGCAGAATGGTTTTTAGTCTCTTGAATTGGAGTAACTTTATGACTTATTTCCCCTAGGTGACCGCAGTCCCTATCAGCTTTCCACACTGTCACCTGACTACTGACCTCATTTTTAATATTACAAATCTAATAGTTACAAAACATAGTTGCATCCCTGAAGCAAAACCTTAAATATTATAAACTAGATACTAATTGTTACTAGTGGTTTCTCATTGGGCAAAAACAGGTCAAATCACATTTTCATAATACTTCCTTACATAACAGATTATCAGACACATTCATATGCATGGATACTCTCTTCTTAGAATACTGTTAGGAGTAACCTGAAATATGAGCAGTTTAAATCAGTCTGACAAGTATTATATACTGATTTTACTATGCAGTCATGGTTCCTAAACAGTGGTTTTCAACTTTATTCATATATATAACATAAAAATTCTCAAATATCTGAGTTAAAGGAAAGATGACATTAATAAGGATAACAAAACAACAATAAAGGTGTTTTAATACTAGAGAATGAAGCAAACTGAAAAAGAGGGAGACTATGAAGTAAATGTGGCCTTGAACCATTTTACATTACTATTCCTTCAATTTAAAACAGTTAAAGAAGACAGGCCACAAACAGTTTCTCAGTGGAAAAAGCTGCAAGAAAAGCAACACAGCTGAGTGGTGACAGAGAAAATATAAGGAACATGAACATTTGTAGCTTTAATCTGAAATGATGGTATTAATTCTAGTCAGAAGTTTAAGAAACAGCAAGGAATAACAAATGAATTAGTAAAACTATAATCTGTTGGGGTTTTTTAATTCCATTAATTTTTAATTCTTTAAAATATTTAAATCTGATAGAGAATGCCTATTTACCTTTGTATTTGTCTCATTTCTTAAAACTTAACAATTTGAGTAAATACTTTAAAATTCTTAATTATTAAAGCAAACTTCAATGGAGTTATTTAATGAGCTTCAGAGCATCAATCCCAATCCCCTCAATACCAAGATAGCTATATTCAAGTTCATTTGTAGCATTAGTTAAATCTGCCATTACCATCACCACATTGTGTAATGACAGAGACTGAGTCACTTCATTTCTTCAAGAAAAATTACATTGAAATCATTACTTAAAGCTTTTAGTAATGGGGAGAAAAGCATATATGATGTTCTACACAGTGAACTCGAAAGTGTTTTAAAAAATAAGAGGATACCAGTTAAGGTTTGTCTGACTCATTTTTTAAAAACCTATCAATAAGCTTTCCATTGAACTGATTTAAGGTAGTTGTGTTATTCAGTGATGCTAAAACAACCCAACACTTGGTAAGTATACTCAGATCGGCACACTGTACTAAAACACATAATTGTACAACAGTTTATAAACTAGCTGCAGTTTTCAGTAGCTGTGTTCACCAACTGTGTAACAGAATTGTAATGTTCCCCTAGGCCATATGCATGTCTCATATATCTGAAATGAAAAAAGAAGAAATGAGTAGTTTTGAAGAAAGTAAATCATTGTATATAAATATTTATATATATAGGTATAATACCCAGCATCCCAGAGACTACATTGACATATTAGAAATTCAACAGTATTTGAAAAGCATTACTAGCAGTCAGTAAGATATAGCTCAAGATTCCTGTCTGCTGAGGCTAAGTCAGGTAAAACAAAATAACTGGAGGGGAAAAAGAAAGACTGAACTGCTTAATATTCAATAAGCTATATTTTTACCTAAACCTAAGCCATTAATAGCCTATCGTAGCAGTGAATTTTGTTTCAGAGATTTCTTAATTGTGCAAAATACTTGAACAATGTGAAAAAACACATCAAAGAAACTATCACTAAGCACTAATAATTTATTTCAGCTTTTATACTTGTTGAAACTTTTGACACTATTGATATCAAGCCAGAACAATATGCAAACTAATTCTAAAACTTTGGAGCCTTTAAAAATGACTTTATTCTTAACTCATACACTAGAATAAATTAGAAGTTTAAACATTTATCTAAAGTACATATTTTGACAACATGTTCTAATTGCCTTTAATATAATTACCTTTCACATAAGTCAGTTAAAGATTTTTTTTTATTAAACACCATATACAACCTAAAATCTCTTAATAATCGTCTTAAATATAAAAAATACAACAGTAGAAATGTCTAAGTACTTACACAAGAATTAATGGTTTTTTGGGATATTCTTCGCCCACTACTATAGGAGGAGACTCTGCCTGTATTATCTCTATAGGTGTTTGTAAAATGTGAGACAGAGCTCTCAGCTATAGGAAAGAAAATGTATTAGTAAGGGAAATAAAAATGTAAATCCCAAATCCCACTCAAATAGCAAACTACTGAGCTATGCAACCAGTCAGATCAGGGATCAATTCTATTTCTTACTGTAAACAGAGAACTTGGAACATAATGGGTGCTTATTACATATCTGTTGAATAAACAAATAAGTACAATATTTGTTAAATTGCATAGAAATGTTTCAAGTTCTGGCTGCAGGTCAGTTTTTAAGAAATATCACTGTCACAGTTAATGAAGTGAGGGAATGAATAGATTGGGTACACTCGTCTGTCTACTTTTGAATATGCTTGAAAATTTCCATAATAAATAGGATTTTAAATTTAAAAATAAAAGCTATTTAAATACCTCAAGCAACAGACAAAATCAATTATAATTTGGGAGGGGAAGGGGGAAGATGAGTAAGAACAGGGCAGAATAGCCTTTTTTTTTTAAAGTTTTTCAGATGATTCTAATGTATAACTAGTGTTGAGAATCACTGCTCTATAATTCTCAAGCAGGAGCAGAATGACATATACATATGATTTGTACTATACTTTCAAGAAATTTCCATTTGACTAATGCTTAAATTATATACCCTATAATATAAAATCATAAAGTTGGATGAATAGTAGTTAAAAGTAAATACTGGGTAGTAATAATCTTTGGACTTATTATGACCAAGTACTTTAAGCACTTTACGCAGATCAAGTTAATTCATTCAATGCTCATAACAACTTAAGTGGAGGGTAGTACTGTTATACTTATTTTAAAGACTGGAACCTAAGGAGAAAAAAATGTCAAAAGGTCTACCTGAAATTCAAGAAAATAAAGTGACATGCAATTAAACTAAGAAAGTCTAACACTATAGTTCATAAACAAATCAGTCATTAATAATCTTCAATCATTATACCCTGATCTGTGCATTTGCTCCATAATCAGAACATGCCAGTTTCAAACAAATATGAGAAATTATATTAGAAACAGGAACAAGCTTTATCATCTCTTAGACCACTGCACGAAGGCAAACTTAATCCCATACACTTATCTCACACAATGTTCCTTGGAGGAATTGTTTTCTTACAACCAAAATAACATATTTTAAAAGCTAGCAAGGAATGGAGGGTATGAAGCAAGTCTGGAAATCTCAACTTCCCTTCTAAGTCTTCAAAATCTAATATAAAGATTTTCTCTTTAATAATTTAAATTTATCCCATTGTGAGCACAGCTTTTATTTCAAATGAATTTTCAGAAGAATAATTTATGCTTAAATATCTTTCAAAATGTTTTGAAAGATTTTTTTTTGCCACTTTAAGAAGAGTAGCCTAGTTCTCTAATATTCATATTAATCTGCAATTCTTATAAGAAACTTCAACCATCTTTAGTTACTCCTAATGTGGTCACAAAGGTGCAATGAAAACTTATTGAGTTTCAGAGACTCAGGAGAGGCATACAAAAGGAATGGACAGAGTTCCCTCTGCTGGCTCAGAAGGGGTACAAATATATAACTGCTGAGAAAAAGATTTTGAAGAAACTGTCATGCATCTTAAAGTAAAATACTCAAAAGCCACAAACTATGCAAAATGACTAATCATCATTACGCAATAAGGAGTAATAATAATACTAGATTCATGCCTCTGGCACTTTAGCTTACAAACTTAATGTCCACAAATGACCTACTAAATATACATAGGAGTTTTATTACCTCTATTTAATCATTAAGAAACTCGGGCTTGGGAAGTGGCCTAACTCCCTGGAGTCAAAATATCGGTAAGTAGGAGGGAAAGATAGAACCTAAACCTGGATTTACTCTCTTATCCTCTGACTTTCCAATACCCCAACTAGCTTTATCATCTCTTAGACCACTTTAAGTGCTTTATTTATGGTGTTTTAGTGAAACAAAGTTAACAGTAAGATAAATATTTAAAAGTTAAACAGAATAGTGGTTAACTCCCTACAAGTGACTGGACATATTGTTTTCCGACATGTGAATTTTAACGCATTAAATATTGCTCTCAAGTCAGTCGGTCAGTACCAAGGAATTTAAGACAAAAATAACAGATGCCTTGTGATCAGATTTGACCTGCAATTGCACATAAAGTTTTATTTTCTATTTCTGATGTAATGAGTTAATACTTTTCCAATCATGATTTTCATCAACACAGTATTTGAGTAAAATCTTCACTTTCAGAAGTATAGAAAATCAAGTATATTGCCAGTAACAGAATCACAGTTGGAAAGTTATGTAGATGGGCCACTAGCTTCACCAACCCACAGAGTAAACAATCCATTATTCAAAATGAAATAGTGCTTCACTTCCCTAAAGTGTGTACTTAAGTCAAAGGCCTAGGCATGTTTAACTCCCTATTTCAAGGTTTTGTGAGTACAGAAATAGGAAATATATAAAGAAAAGGAATCTTCAAAGAGAAATCAGGATCATCTGAAAAATATGTCTCAAAAGTACAGATGGGATTTAGAAATAATTTATCAATCCACAATCACTATAAATAATTACAAACTTACCTCAAGCTGACCTCCCCATGCAGCTGTGTTTACAATATCATCACAGTACTTTCCAAACTCCTCTGCAGAGAATAGATCAGAAAATAGCACTTAGTATTTTTCATAACTCATGTCATAAGAACCCTTTTTTTATGGCTCCCACGATTCCTGATGGAACTGCCTGAGTTATGAATTTCCTCCTTCTGTACCTGTACTTTCCAGAATTTAATCCACTTCCCAGATCCAAACTTATACCGACTCCAACTTTCCACCACCTTTTCATCCAAGAGTATAGCAATCCATTTCTACTTATCTCCCTCAGTCTCAACTCCACGGACCTTAACTATATGAACAAGTCTAGTTTCTCTCTTTATTCCAAGCAATGGACCCCCAAATTGCCAACATATTCACTGCCTTGACATGTTCTTCAAAGCCTAAATCTACATCTGAAAGAATACGCTGTAAGAATAAAAAAATGCAGATCCTATAAAATCAGGTTCATTACAAGATGCCATAAGAAATATAAGAAGAGAATCAGGGTAAAACTGCAAATGAACTGAAGTTTCTTTCCACATGACAGCATCAAATAGTACCTCCACTCATCATTCTGGAAGTGTTTATCCTATTTGCATCAATTATCAGTTCTAGCTAAAGAAGGGTTTTGTGTACCAGCCCTGGGATGAGATAAACAAACTAATTTCAGAGTTTTAATGGCATATCTTGAGCGCATACACTTTTTTTTATGAAATTTTTTTTAAATAATAAATTTTATTTTTATATTCCCCATACAATTGCAACCCCCTCATTCTGACCCCAATCCCTCCCCTCCCGCCACCCACCCCCCAAAAGTGTCTCTGGTTCATAGTTATTTGTTGATTTTGATTTTCTTTCTTATAGTTATTCATTTTCCTGGTCCCTTATTTAAGTTTTCTAGATTCCTGCTATGAGTGAGACCATCCGGTATTTTTCTTTTTCTTTCTGGCTTATTTCGCTGAGCATGATCCCTTCCAGCGCCATCCATGTTGCTGCAAATTGCATGTGTTTATCTTTTTTGAATGCTGAGTAATATTCCATGGTATATATGTACCACATCTTCTTGATCCAGTCATCTATTTTTGGGCATTTGGGCTGTTTCCAAAGCTTAGCTATTGTAAATAGGAGCACATACACTCTTATACAGAAAATTAAAATGGAAACTAACACCAATACTATTTAAAGAAAGGGAAAAGAATTATGGGAATCTAGGAAAAAGTATGTCCCATGTGTTTGTCTCATTCATTCACTGCTTTATCTCTAGGGCTCACAGTAGTACCTAGTTAGTTCCTGGCATGCAGCTGTCAATAAATATTGATTGAGTGAATGAAGATGATTAAGTCTATTGTGTTTTCCTCTGATTCAGCATGCTGAGTTACCATCTCCTCTCGACTGCCCTACTGCTAATAATGAATTGAGGAGTTTGAATGATGTTACTTCTCGTGTGTGATACATCATAGCCAATTCTGGTTATCAAGAAAATAGCAATTACCTAAAACAAAGTAAACAGATATTAACATTCCCAATATGGCATCTATGGGAAATAAGTTGGCAACAGAATGAGGTGTTCACATACGTACTTGATAACTATCAATAGATGCCTTAGGCCTAATTCATTGCTAGAGCTTATTCTCATCTATTCTGCATTGTGCTGGATGTTCGTTCCATGGAGTATAGACTCAGTAAGAGAAAGTCAACAATAGAGTTCCCCAACTCCCTCCTGAACTCATTCACACCACATGACTTACTCCCAATGTATACTACCACATCTGCCACCAACTTTCCGCTCTTATGCCCCTTGCCCCCTGAAACTTTCAGATTTTCACTTGCTTTCTCCATTTTTTCACCTCCCCTAAATATTTTATCTTAATTATCAAAGATAAAGAGAAATAAGGTGGGTTATAACACATTTGTTTTTGATTTTCAAAGCCAAGTCAAATTTTGCCTGAATATTATAGCCTATGAGAATAAAACTAACTCTCCCATAGTATAGGAGAAACGATAGAACTGGTAAGAACTGGTATTCCTAAACTTTGTCTGCTTCAAGTCCAGGGCCTATACTTTCAGAGGGTGGTCAAAGCCTATCTTCCCCTAAATTTAACTTCATGAAATATGAACTTAAGAATACACTTTTTAACGATGATGATGATGATGAGTCCTAATCTCATTTTTATCTTATATAGAATGATTAACATTTTAACTATGAAAGACTAAGTATTTAAAAAATATTAAAGTCAAATGTACCAGTAGCTGGTAAAATACAGGGAAGAAAATCTGCATATATTCAATATTTAAAACTTTCTATCCCCATAAGGACTATATGAGTTTTAATTATCCTCAGTCACAGGAGCACTTGATTTAACAACCAGAGCTATGACAGCAACAACAAAACATAGTAAAGAAAATAAATTACCTGGAGTGTACATATCTCCTGTATTAGGATTTGTTAAAAATGGCAGAAAGTCTTCCACATGGCTCTGCATGTATTCAGCAGCCTGACTCCTTAAGGCAGCCACAGTCAGAGGGCTTTCCTGTCCTTGCAGTTGATCTTCAATGGCTCTATACATACAGTGACCATCGGATTGGATCTGTTTAATTTCCAACTGCCTCGCTGCCAATATTTGAGTAAGTTTTTCACTTTCTACATGTCGAGCTCCAGATAAGTTCTCAATTTCAGCTTCAGCTATCCTTTCTTCCCGTTCCTTTTCCAATGCAGCTTTCTTTTCCTAAGGGGACAATGTAGGAAAATTAATTCATAAATATTAATTTACATTTATTAAGAAGATAAAAATGCAAGCTGCTCAAAACTTTTTGGCCTTTTTTCCTCTTCTGTCACAAATGTTATCATAGTGATCACATCACTTGTAGAGTTTTCTACACTGTGAACTCTTTTAAAGGGCGCCTATCTTGGGCCTCCCCGGTGGCGCAGTGGTTGAGCGCTGGGTTGCGAAGCTGCCCGCAGCCTCTACAGCGCCGGTTCAATCCCCAGCTGCTCCCAGGCCACTGGAGGAGGGTCCCACATGGCGAGCAGACCTCTCCTGCCGCCCGCTGCTCCCCTCAGCAGTGTGCTTTGGTCCTTCTGCCTGCTCTGCTGCCCGTTCTGGCTCTGGTGAATTCTCTCACCCTCCCGCGCTTCTGACTGTACCCAGTGCTTATATAAACAAACAAACAAATAAACATTTATAAATAAATAAATAAATAAATAAAATAAAGGGTACCTATCTTACCTATCTGTCCCTGACACTTAGCTCTATATTGAGACAAAGAAAAATTATTCATTGAGGTTTGTTTAAAAACTATACATCAAGTTTCTAAAAAGTTTACTTACTTATTTCATATCACTTCCTTAAGACTGGATTGTCCTAGGCTTTTTTTTTTTAATTTTATTTTTATATTCCCCATACAATTGCAACCCCCTTATTTTGACCCCAAGCCCTCCTTTCCCTGTTCCCCCCACCCCCATAGTGTGTCTCTGATTCATAGTTATTTGTTGATTTTGATTTTTTCTTTCTTATAGTTATTCATTTTCCTAGTCCCTTATTTAAGTTTTCTAGATTCCTGCTATGAGTGAGACCATCCGGCATTTTTCTTTTTCTTTCTGGCTTATTTTGCTGAGCATGATCCCTTCCAGTGCCATCCATGTTGCTGCAAATTGCATGTGTTTATCTTTTTTGAATGCTGAGTAATATTCCATGGTATATATGTACCACATCTTCTTGATCCAGTCATCTATTTTTGGGCATTTGGGTTGTTTCCAAAGCTTAGCTATTGTAAACAGTGCTGCTATAAACATAGGGGTGCAGGTGCTCTTTGGAATTGATGTTTCTGTGTCCTTTCAAGCACAGCATTAAAAAATTTAATTCCAGGCTAATTCAAGTTTCTTCATTTATCCCTAATAAGGCATTAATATGCTAAATTGCCCGAGAGGCATCAATGTGCTGAAACCTTTAAAAGGAACTGTCTTTTAAAAAGGTGTGTATATACTCACACATTTAATTAAATTAACAGATAAAAACATTCTTTATTAAAAAAAAAAACCTATTACAAATAAAGTTCCCCTAAGAATCACTGCCAATCCAGTGCCAGCCCCCTAGAGATCTGGTGTGTATCCTTGTTTTTTTCCTATGCATTTTAATAAATATAGGTGTACAAAGAGAAAATGTATAGAAAAGTATTATAACAAAAATGGAATCACCCAATATTACCTCAGTGAAAAAGTAAATTTAAAAAAATGGAATTAAACATTCTATTTTGCAACTTGCTTTCCTTATTCAATATGAGCTTTTCCTACGGTAGCATATGCCAGTAACGGGGAAGGGACAGTCAATAAGAGGTATATGACCTGAAGGATGGATAGCAGGTAGAATGGAAAGTTTGGAAAAGAGAAAAATTTCTGAATCAAAAAAGACAAGAAAGAATCAAAAGCCAGAAAGCACTACATGTTTCATAGTTGCAAACAGTTCAAACTGCTAGAGTACAGAGAAAAGTGTCAAAAGGTGAGGTTGGTGAAAATAGGGTGAGGGAAAGGGAACACTGGACTATTGTGAAGGACTATGGGTGCTCTGGTGGCGGGAGAACTACGGTGACCACACATGAGGAGAGAAATCCTATACTATCAAAAATGAACAAGGATATAAGAAAAAAAATAATTCATTAAAAAAAGAGAAAGAGAGATGAGGTTGGGGGTTACAAAGAAAGGTTAAATATTAAGTCAGTTTGCATACATAATTTAAAAAAGAATAACACTCTAAAAAGATATAGACAAAACAGTACTTTTCTCTGGGTGGTAGAATTACAAAATTCTATTACAAAATTTAAATTTTGGAGCATGTGTGTGTGTGTGTGTGTGTGTGTGTGTGTGTGTAAGCACATCCATACTAATTATCTGTCTCTTTCTAATTCTCTACTGTGAGTATAGTTAAACATGTATAATCAACAGGGATATGCTGTTCAATTTAAGAGAATAAAAACAATTAAGTACAGTAAAGGATTTGGTAACACAACAAAATAAATAGGAAAAAATAAAGATTTTCATGCCCAACTAACTCCTCCTTAACACAGAAGTGGTGACGGGAAAGGCAATTTTCTATTTAAATTAATGCCACATAGTGTACTGCATGCCTTTATGTGCCAAGGGAGATGAACCTAAAGTGATTTCTAAGTTATGTGAATCAAAAGCAGTATTACCTCCCCAATAAAACATAAGCCTACTTAAGTTTTTTTCCTCAAGTCACACAAGAAGTAGCATGAACACATTAATTTACTGCATACATACAAATGTGGTTACAGCATGATAAAACCCTAAACCACAAGATGGCACTATTTCTTTATAAAAGACTAACAGTTTCAGAGGGGAGAGGGAGAATAAGCACCTTAGATATCATCTAATCCAAACCCTCACTTCCCCTTCTGAGGAAACAGCATGCAGAAAGATTTCCAAAGGCCATACAGCTGGTTAGAAGCAGAGCAGGGACCAAGCACAACACAGAGTTCCTTCTATCCAGGCACCTAAATCAGAATAAAAGTTGGGGTAGATGGGAGCTGAAGTTAATGATGTCATATACTAGTTACCGGAAAGTGGAACTTTATATTATTTGCAAAACTATATATGCCTCTAAAATACTAATGTAATCATTTCCTTTTTTCTTTCTCCCCACATGTTCTGCTTTAATATTCTGCAGCAAATGACTTTCCTTTCCAGGGTACTAGGTGGGAAATCCACTAGCTTCTTTTCCCAATAATGTATAGTTTTGGGGAATGTACAGTTTTCCAATGGTCTATAACCATCATACTAGAGTTGATATGGTATTAAATTATAAAATTTAATGACTATCTCTGTAGAATAGCACACAACTCATAAATATAATGTCAATAAAACTGTAGTCATGTTGATATGGTAATATAACCAAAACAACTCTGAAGAGGAATCTTAAACCTATCAAACCAGATTTCATTCCGGATCTCAGACAGTTCTTGGAATACAGTTCTGCTAAATTCTATTTTGATTTAAAATAGATACCTAAAGGTTTCCACCTCACCTAACAGTTTCCACTTAAGCTTTTCATTTAAATAAAATACTCCTGGTTTTCTAGATTAGAGAAAAAGAAATTTGCTCTACAACATTCAACAATATTCCCATAATGAAAACTTTATAAAATTTTATCATGTTTTTCTACCAGAGACTACTATTTTCCCCAAAGATAAACACCATTACTGGCTTTTTAATAAGTGTATCTCTGGCAAAATATAGGTTTGAAATAGCTTAATACCCAATTGCTCACCCTCTCTTCAGGCTTCATTTTCTTTAGCATTATGAACTCTTTTTATTTTTTTAAGATTTATTTATTTATGCATACAAGAACTGGGGTATAGGCCAGAGGTGTGTGTGGGGGGGGTGAGAGGATTCACCAGAGACAGAGTGGGGAACAGAACAGGCAGACTGACTGAAATACACTGCTGAGGGGAGCAGCAGGCGAGACAGAAGAGATCTGCTGCACCATGTGGGTAGCTCCCTGGCTGGCCTGGGCTCGAACTCCTGCTGCAGAGGCTGTGAATAGCTTCACAGTGCTGTGCTTAACCTCTGTGCCACCAGGGAGGCCCAGCATTATGAACTTTTAGTGTTCTCTGTTCCAGAATTTTTATTACTGTAACAAAATAAGAAACTCTGGACACTATTTGTTCTCTGCCAAGTACTAAAACATAAAAGATGTTTTGAGGGTACAGCTGAAAAAGGTACTCATTTCAAGTAAGCATATTTCAGGAAAAAGTCACAAAATGTTTGAGAAAGGTAAGGAGTTTTATTTTGTTGCCTAAGGGTACAGGTAGAAATGAGTAATTAGTAAACATAGGTAGGAGTTATGTCCTTATGTTTTCCAGATACTCTAAATGTATCTAAGTGGAAGCAATTCCAACAAATTCTTTATTATGCAATTGCCAAGCAAAAATTCTGTCCTTCACCTTTGATCTCTAGAAGCTAGATGACAATTACAAGGCTATTACAAAAACACGCCTCTAAATAGATAGATAAACTAGATAACCTCAAAGATATCATGAAATCTAAATTCATAATCATAATATTTACTTAAGAATGAAATTTTATACAGGAATGAAATTTTGTACAGGTATGAAAAATGATTCACTATTTGCCATTTCATTTGCCTTTCAAATAAACAAAAAACACCACTGCCCTTAGGTGGAATTTTTAAAGAGGCATATTATGCACTTCTTAACACAGTAAACAACACTATCATTTGTTGACCACTAGATCTCAGGCCTTGTGTTAAGGGCTTTGTAAAAAATACATTTAACATTCACAATAATTCTATGAAGTATGTATCTCCCCCACTTAATACATGTGAAAGAGTTAAGAATCTAAACAAAGTCACAACAGTAAGTGGAATTAAATTCCTCCATTCATCTAACACTAAACTTCATGGGCTATTAAATTATGTACTACTAAATTGTGAAAGACAAAGCTAGCTTAAAAATAAATATGTAAATCCTCAAATGCATTGTTAGTAATACAATCTTTGAGACTATAGAGATTGAATTTAAACTCATTATGTGCACTATATATTTTGTTTAATTTCTAGGTTTAAATCTTTGTTTCACTACTTAATACCACAGTTTTTAACCAGTTATTCATCAGAATCACCTGGTGCATCACTTTGAAGTTTCTGAATTATCAAATCTAGAATAATACATTGTGTAAAAAAATATCCTTTGCACACCCCCTTTCTGTCCCTACCCTCCTATGAGAATCGCAAACTGTACAAGTTATTTTATATTGCATTAAGTCTATTTTCTTCTCTATAAAATGGGGATGTGAAGTCCTATTTTATAGGATTATTATCAGGACTAAGTAAGATTTCACATCCTCTATTAACCCAGCATAGTATCTGGCACATTGCAAGTAAACATTATTTAAAGTCCATTTTTTTTCTGTTTCCTTCCTATATAACTCCTAAGATAGTACTGAGCACAGCAGTAGCTTAAATACTTGTTGACATGACTTTCATACCCGTCTCTTCTGTGCTTTAGAAATCCGAGGCACATGATTTTCAAGAACCAAGTTTGAAAAGTCAACGGCAACACAATCTATCTGAAGGAAACAAAAAAAGTATTAACAAGTTAATGAAACACATTTCTAAATTATTATTCAAAGTAACAGATCATGAAATTATTCATAAAAATCACAAAGGTGTAATCTCACAATATTCAAATTTGAGTAATAGCATTAGATACCATATTAGATGAGATAATTTATCTCCTTTTCCATTTTTAAGGAAAAAATGGTCAGGTTACCAGGAAGTTTCCTTAAAGCTTTTCAAGACAGTGTTTATGCCTGTATGCTTTCCTTCCTTCTTAGAATGCCTATTCCATTAATCTACACACTTCCTTGTAAATGCCAATGCATACAGCACTCAAGCCTTCCCTTCCAGTGATGACACTAATTAGAGGATCTCTAAGATCCTGTGCTGATACAGTTCATTATTAATTTTAAAACCTCAAATATGGCAGCAGAGACCTTTCCCTCTTAGACACAACCTGAACAGCACTGTTTCTTGACTTTACTAACAACAGAGCTTTATCCATCCTTTGCCATCTACAAAGTGATAGCTATAGGTAGAAAATTCAACATAATTATTGGTAAAATAGTACAACCAATGTTAATAATCAAATGGCTATTAAGTATTTGCTGAAGAAAAACAGATGTTAAGACTTAAAACAATGAGTATTAGCTAGTATTTTATTATTGCAACAATAAGTTAAGCTAGCTTTTAGTGTGATATACATAAAATACACTGAAGCTTCTAACAACAGAGTAAGCAACATCCAAAGCTATGACCCAAATGATCAAAATACCGAAATCAGATTAAGACTTCAAAGAATGTTTATCAACTTTGAAAATTAGGATTTTTACAAATTTTGGAGAAATCTGCTAAAATTTACAAACTGCCTATAGACAAAATACAGAAAAGTATCTGAAAAACAAAAGAAAGCAATGATATAAAGCTTTCAGAAAAAAAACAAGTTAGTTAATGATAACATTGTAGTCAATGTAGATATAGAGTAAGTTTGCATATCAACAGGTAGACAAGAAGTAGCTTAAGAATCAAACATTTTTGTCCTAGAAAACCTGGATAGAATCTCAAAATTGAAAGGCCTAAGAAAGCAAACAAAGCAATCTTGTTAATAGAGAAAATAGAGAGACAATCAGGAATAGCATGATTATGACAATAATATTAAACTCCTGGAGACTCAAGGCTTTATTACCTGCAAATAAAATATGTTAATAGCATGCAAAGCCTGAATGTTGATGACTAGATAAAAAAGTTAAAGAAAATGAGACTGGGGCCTCCCTGGTGGTGCAGGGGTTAAAGTCTCAGCGTTATCAAGCTATCACCAGCCACTGTGGCATGAGTTTGAACCCCGATCACAGAGCTAACCCACATGGTGCAACAGACCTCTCCTGTTTCACCCACTGCTCCCCTCAGCAGTGTATTTCGGTAGATCTGTCTGTTCTGCTCCCCACTCTGTCTCTGGTGAATCTTCTCAACCCCCACCACCCCCCACACCTCTGGCCTACACACCAGTTCTTGTATGCATAAATAAAATTAATCTAAAAAAAAAAAGAGACTATACCTAAAACAACTACCATTGCAAATTAGTACAGACAAGCTATTTCCCTGTCAACAACAAACCAAAAAAGAACAAAATATAATTTAATTATGGTAGATAAAATTTTGCATTAATATAAAAGCATTCTAATTATCAAAAACAGAGGGAGGTTATGGAGTCCATAATCCTTGATATCAAAACGCAGGTGATAAACTATCACACCATACAAAGTTATCAAAGAATTCAGTATTCACATGCTGGCATAAGAGAACTCTGATTTCAAATTATGGCTCTGACATTTAAAAGTTGTTAACTAATTCATGATAAAGTTCTTAATCTGAGTTTGTTTCTCACCTGAAAAATGGAATTAGTTACACTTACTTCATACGTAATACTTCATAGTGTGTTACTCTGAGAATTCTATAAGATAGTAAATTATAATATGTCAAAGTGCTTGGCGTACTCTTAATATTAACTACAATGACAAATTAAGTATTAGTTAAAATTAACTAATTCCATTTACCCAAGAAACATCAGTATAATTCCATTTACCCAAGAAACATCAGTAAATTTTCATTCATTACAACTTGTTTATAAAGCACTTGTACAACATAAAAATTACACAGGTTGTCCCATTTGATTTTTAAAAATCTTGTACATTTTTAAATAGCAGAAGTATTTGCATGATATTACATATGGAGAAATTTAAGTTCAGGAAGTTTAATTTACCCAGGTGTCAATCCTATTGTAATGGCAATTATGGGAGCAGCAGTCTGGTGTTGCAACTTTGATTTGGTGGATGGAACAGATTTGGTGATTTGGAACAGATTTCCTCTGTTCCACTTTATCAACCGGTTCACCTGCAAGTTAGCAGTTAAATACATAGGTCTTTGCCGACCTCCCTTACAAAAATACACTACCAAGTAAACCTAATCACAAAAAAAGTTAATGAATGATGATGTATGAGCAGATTGAGTACCCTCATTTTCTTCCAATTAGATGATTCATATAGTAAACAGTTCAACAGAAGAGGCCAACTGCCTACAAACGCTAAAGGCAAAGACAAACATTACTTCACATACCTTACTCTCCTTAGATGCTAATTTAAATTGCTCTAGTTCTTCTCTATGTTTCTGTTCCATTTCAGCTTCCAACTTTGCAACATCTTCAGTGAGTTGCTTCCTCCTCTTTTTGTCATTCTTGGGCACAGCATTTTTCATACCCTGAATTTTGGCTGAAAAGCCACGAAAATTATTAAGTCAAAACCCAGCGAGTAAGAGAAACAGGAACTGTGGGGCTTGGTTTGGAGAGAAGGAAGAAGTGATAATGGAAGCAAGAAAAGTCATTTATATCAGATTACAGAGAAGGGTGCAGATGAAGCTGAGACTCCCCCCCAAATATATTTATATATATATATATATATATATTCATTTACATAAGCGTGAATTTGCCTGATGTGGTAGGAGGATGAAAAAGAAAATAACTGCCTGCAACAAGTTTTATATAAAATCTTTCAAGCATCCTTTCTGAGTCCTAAAGGTAGAGACAAGGCATTTCAAAACGTGCCCAGCGAGGCCAAGCATCAGAATCGGGGACGGGATGGTAAAGGGGCGGGGAGGGGGGCGGAGAGGGGGGCGGGCGGGGTCCGAGGCGAGGCAGGGGAGGGCGCTCCGACACCAGCACCGGGCGGCGGCTCAAGGGGGGCGCGGCAATCCCCACAAGCTCTGAAACTCTAGGTGACTGAGGGGTCCCCGGGGCAGAAGCGTCGGGATGGAAGACACTGGCTTTCCTGGGGGAATCCTAGGAGGAGCCACACCAGCAGCCCTTCCAAGATGCCCCAGGAGCGACCCGCCACGCGCCCTGGGTTGGGGTCGGGCTCCTGGAAGTGCCCACCCTGCCCTCACCTTGCAGCTCCTTCTTCTCTCTACGGTGCCGTCGCATCAGCTGCTCTTCCTCATCAAGCTCCTCGGTCGGGACAGCCTCCATGACGACCAGGTAGCTCAGCACACGCGCTACCACAAACCTGCACCACCGGCGAGCCAGCACCTTCCACCCCTCAACCCTCACCCGCAGCTCCATTGGCCGCGGCCGAGCCCCAGCCCCGCCTTCAAGGCGGCACCGGATCTTAGCCGAGTCATTGGAGCGAGAAAGGAGCATGGACTGCTGCGCATGCGCTCTCCCTAGACTCCCGCCGCTTAATGGGGCGGGGCGGCGGGGGGAGGAGCCATAAAGGAGCTCGGGGGTGGGGCTTGGCCAGAGGGAGTTTGAGCCTCGCGATTGATAGCGCCCTCGTATTGATAGAGCCCCTTCCCCAGCAGCGGTACGTGCCCGGCTTTTGGCGCTGGCGTGGGCGCGCGGAGATGACGTGAGAGGAGCCATTTTGGCTGTTTGGTCGAGGTGAAGGGCCTTCGTCTTCAGTTTTGATTTCGTTTGGTGGGAAGAGCTGTTGGAAAGGTAAGAAAGAGACGTAAAACTTTCATGGGAAACCGTTGATAATTTTCAGGGGAAAACTTTGAGCTGAATTAAACTTTAGCGTATTAAATTTTTGTTTACTGTTTTCAAGGTTTTAATACTGCAGTGGAGAAGAAACAGCAAAGTAGTAAGAGAAAATGCCGCCTCTTGAAACGGATATAGCGGTGGAAACAGAAGAGAGAGTAAGGATTGAGTACCATGTGGTTCAGGAGCTGAAAGAGCTATGCGCAATGATAAAGAGGTTAATGTCAGAGCGCTTGAGAAATTTTGAGGAATTAAGAGCGTTGGCAGAAATAGGCGCACCTGAAGGTGCGGAGGATGGGATGGCTGAAGTAAACGCCAAACAAGATTTCCCAGAGCTTGAAGAAAAAGGGGAAGAGAAATGAAGAAAACGAGAGTCCTGTTGTGCAGATCCAGCAGATAGAATCCACGTGTACTCTGAATACCCGAAACAGGAAAAATCAAAGCTGAAACAATAAGAACTGAAGCAAGTTTTCCAGAATTGAAGACCAAACTAGATCTGCAAATAGAAAACACGCACGGGGTGTTCCAAAAATTTAACAAAAAGTAACCAAAGCAACACCTAACAAAAGAAAGACATTCTGGTTATGATATATCCTGTTCACGTTTTCAAAATTGAAAGATAAGAAGTTCTATAAATAGCTGACCTTAGATCTTTCTCATGCAACTCTGTATGACAAGAATATGGAACAGTATCTACAAAATTTTCAGGACAAATAATCACATACTCGGTCAGGTTATCATTTCTTTATGAAGGCGACTGGAAGACGTTCACAGATATGCAGGGATTTCAAAAGTGTATCACCCAAGTACCATCCTTGAAAATATTGCTAAGTGATTGACTCTAGCCAACAGAGAACATGAGTTAAAAATAGGGAAGCGATTGTATGAAAAAATTAGTGATAAAACATTAAAACTACCTAAAAGCATTAAGAATAAATTACCGCATATAGTATTATAAGACGAGTTGTAAAAAAGTAGATTTGTAAATTGGATCAAAACTTCAGTTTATGTCATTTCAAACTGAAAAAGCATGCTAAATGTTTGATATATAGAGAATAAATACTGTTGTTTTTTTTCCTGAGCGTAGTGTGAAAGTATGCATATTCTTAAGCTACATGTAAGACCTTGTCACTGGACAAGCATTCCAAATGTTAATTTGTTAATCTGACAAAATGGGAAACAGGTCAGTACAGTTTTATTTTCCCTGCTTTTAGTTGGGGGAGGGGGTTTGTAATGTTATTATGGATCGTATTAAAAACTTCAAATCACTGGTAGCGAGGCACTGTAAACGCCTTTATATTATGCACATCTTGCCTAGGGAAGATAACTAGGTACTGCTTTATGTAGTTAAATTGTAAGTGAATCTGACATTGAGGTTAAGTAACATAAAAATAAAGTGAAAAAATGAAGAAAAACAAAAAAACAGCATTGAATTCAGCATAAAATAGAGGTACAGATGAGTTGACACACTCATAAAACTGGTTAAATATCCCTACTGAAAAAATTCAAATTGGGTCAAAAGTCAGTCTAACGCCTGTATACTCAGGTCTGTGTAAAACAAGGGATAAAAGAGTTTAAAGGCAGTGGAAACCCTGAGTTATAGTAACATTTTTTTAAGAATGCAAAAACTACTTTCAAAACACCATACAGATGTAACTTGAGACTTTATGTGGTACATTATGTAGTATTTTAATGTAAATGTTCATACCTTGATGTGGGTGGTAGTTTTGCTAATATATATATATATAGGATTGTTAGAAAAGTCGTGACATTTTTTTTCTGTTTTTCAAGCAAAAATGCGTCATGACTTTTCTGACAACCCAATATTTTAAAAATTGTACATTTAAAATTAGTACCTTTTATACACATAAAATTAATAAATAATCCTTTAGTAAAAGAATAGGTATGACAGACTATTAAACTCTTGACTTCAGCACTTAAGGTTTTTAATAAGGTAAAAGGTAAAGTGGAGATATAGTTAATAGGGGTATGTGTATATAACGTTACTTTATTTGCACTCTTTTCAAATGCTTCTGAAACATTTCTAAATGATCTTATGTTAGGATACAGAGTAAAAGTAATTTTCCAAAGCACAAGTCACCACACTGAAAAAGTACCTTGAGATTGAATTCAAACATTCAAAAATCACATACTTGGAATTTTTGAAATGTTCTTCAAAACCTTTTAGGTCAAAGCAGAAATTATAGCAAACACTGATAACTTAGTGTAACGGCCAGGAAACTATTATGTGGACAGATGTAGGAAAGGCAAGGAATACAGAATACAAGCAATGAAGAATGGGATATATTTCTAGGAAAGACCTAGCAACTGGATTTTCTAAATTTCGCTACCTTGCAATCCTAAATAGACAATTTCCTAAATACAGACTATTCTAAGCACCACAATAAACTTCCTCATGACGGCATTCTCCCAATTAAGGTTAAACAAATTCTACGCAGCTGGCAACAGTTGATTCAAAGGAGAAGTCAGACTTCACCTTCCCATGGTTGTTCTCAGATGCCAGAATAATACTTGCTGTGTGATCTTTTTATTGAAAAGTATGGTCCTCAAAAACAGTATTAACATTGCTTCACTCATAAAACTGACACACTAATAAAACTGGTTAAATATCCCTATTGAAAAATTCAAATTGGGTCAAAAGTCAGTCTAACCCCAAGATACTCAGGAGCTTGTTAGAAATGCAGTGTCTCAGGTATTTAACAGCATGGATTAGATCACATGTATTATGGAGCAGCTACAAGCTGCCTCACTTAACACACCTAATGAGTGTACCTAATAAGAGTTTGATAAATGACTGTTACTAGAATTCAGAAATTAGCAGTGTCTGTAAGAGTTCCGGTGCTTATATTACAAGCTGTTGTAAAATCCCAATTTGAGGCAAAGATGAGGTAACATTTTCCAAATATTTCAAGTGAGGATTGGTGCTTTGTTTTTCTCCTCTCTTGGAAATGTTCAAGGAGTACAGTTAAAAATGGTAAAGAATGAGTCTGTCTCTAGTGAATAAAATCACATTGAGATAGATTTAAACTCAGTTCATGTCCAAGTATTTCAACAATTCTGGACAAAGTCAAACTCTATAAAAGCTGTAAAAGACCTGAATCAACTACCTAATTGGTGACAGGAGTATTGGCAACAGTTGGAACAGCAGTTTTAGCAAATTGAAGAGAGGGTACATTTCATTTTCCAATGAGCTAAGTAAGCCCTTGAAGGTGATAACTGTATTGGTGTGGGTTAGACCAGTGCTGTTCACATTTGAATATGCAGACTAGTTGCCTGGAGATCATATTAAGATACAGATACTGATTTCCTGTATTTGGGGGTGAGACTGAGATTCTATTTTTTATACTTTCTTATTGTAACGGCAGAACAGGACACGGAGCAGGTTTTCTATGATTCTATGCAGACGGGGTAAAGGAGGAGAGTCCTGGAGGCCTCTGGCTTTTGCAGGCTTTTATTGGGATTTACCAGGTACACAGCAGGCAGGGGTGCTATGGGGCAGGGAGGCTAGTAGGCCTCCCAGCCCCCAGCAAGTCTTTGCTGTTTCTGGGCTCTCTAGCCTTCTCTCCCATTCTCTTTGCTTCTCTCATGGTTCTTCTCATTTGTTCTTCTCAGCTTCTGCTGGTGTCCCCGTGACACTGCACTTAAAGGCCCAGTCTTAGCCCAGGTGAATCCCATCTACATATGTCCACACCCTATCCAGGTACCCGCCATAAGGCATGCATTCAGGACCGCAGGGTTCTGTCTTCTATCCTAATGTCAGGAGGGCAGAAAAGCCTGATAATTTTGGCCTCTCCGATGGCGCAGTGGTTGAGCGCTGGGTTGTGAAGCTGCCCACAGCCTCCGCAGCACCGGTTCGATCCCCTGCTGCTCCCCGGCCACCAGAGGAGGGTCCCACATGGCGCGCAGACCTCTCCTGCCACCCGCTGCTCCCCTCAGCAGTGTACTTCTGCCCTTCTGCCTGCTCTGCTCCCCGCTCTGCTCCCCGCTCTGGTCTGGTGAATTCTCTCACCCTCCCGCGCTTCTGACTGTACCCAGTGCATGTATAAACAAACAAATAAATAAACAAATAAAAATACATGCCTCTTTAAAAAAAAAAAAAGAAAAGCCTGATACTTTGACCTTACTCTACACTTACGTGTTGCTGATACTATTCATCTGGGTACCTGCCACACTTGAAAGTAAAATAATTAAAAACTACACTGTATTTACTAATGGTGAAAGTGAAACAAACATAATTGTCTTAAAGCCACTCAGTAAATATTAGAATCAAATCTGATTGCAGTATTATTTTCTATGTAATGCTGCCTGTTACCCATAATACAGCACCCACTAAAAAGATTGACAAGAAAGTTCATTACTTCAGGTAAAGTTCATATCCAGGACAGAATGGCTGTGGAGTGGGTGGGATGACTTTTGTTTGTAATGTGACAAGCATGATTTGTGACAGTGATATCTGTGAATAGATCAGACGTGTGTTTGGAAGTTCAGAGTCAGAAAACTGGAAATTGAGGTTTGGGTTTTCTGAGTTGAAGGTTGTAGGGCAGGAAGGACACAATGCAGGTTTTCT